ATACTAATCAAGGTGGCCAATTGAAACACTGACACCTACCTCCAACAGGCAAGAGTTCTTTCTCCCACCCTGGACATTCCACAGATGTATAAACCTCACTTGTTTAGTTTCCAACAGACCTCACAACCTCTGAGGATGCCTGCCATGGATGTGGGTGAAACATCAGGAGAGAATGCTTCTGGAACATGGCCAGACAGCCTGGAAAATTCACAGCAACCCACATTCTCTTTATGTTGAGCAGTGATTCAAGCAAAATGAAGCATCACCAGAGCAACGCTGGTATTATTTCTCTCCTTTCCAGATCCAGTTGGCACTTGCACTGTGTTTCTGAGTAGAGCTAGGAAAACATTATTTTCGTTCGACTATAACTCCCATGATGCTGAAAACCAGTAAAAACACTGGTTGGGAGAGGAAATGGGAGTACCTTCCCATGCTGTTTTTTGGAGTGGTGCTAAAATGGGTCAAAACTTTGTCCATCTAGGAAGGGATAAGAGGTACATCTTTCTTTATCAATATCGTCTTGGAAACGATCTTCCCTTTTCCTTCTCCTTAATAAAAACAGAAGTGTCACATAAAACCAGGGACCAGCTCCTTTTGCCTTGGCAACCAGGCATTAATCTGTGTTGGCTGCCAAGGCCAGGCAAAATTTGTTGACACTTCTTCTGTCCTTTAAAAAAAAGATATATAATATCAGGTTGCTCACCTTATAAGTATCTCGCATCACCTGTCCCAATTTGTGTCCCATTTCTGATTATTTTAGTACTAAAATTAGTCTTTCACCTTGCTAAGATGTCCTTTAGGCCACTGATTTGGACAAATACCTCACCTTTTTCTTCCCAAATACTATTTTATCCCTTTGTAAGAACCTGTTTCACAGTATAGCTTATATACTGCATGTGTCAGAACTAAGAAAATATATTTGTTTAGACTGTAATTCCCTGAATCCTCCAGCCACCATGGCTACTGGGAGTGTCTCTGGGTCTAGTCCAAAGAAGGGATTTTTCCTCGTTTTCTGCTTCTCCAGAGTTTTGTGTGTTTATGCATGTGCCTTCAAGTAATCTGTTGACTTATGGCAGCTACATTAATTTCATAGGGTTTTCCTAGGTATGACATACTCAGAGGTGGTTTTGTCATTTCCTTCCTCTGAAGAAGAACTTATTTCAGCACCAGGTACTGTATTAGTTAATGATCTCTCATCCAAGTCCTAACTAATGCTGACTTTGTTTAGTGTCTGAGATCAGGCAGAATCTGGTGCTTTTAGCTATACTTACTTATGTTGTGCCTTGTACAAAGGATCTGAGATAAAATCAGAATATAAATCAAATAGACAAACTTCCTATATTCATATGGACATTTCGGAATACAAGCAGTCCCCAAGTTATGAATGAGATAGGTTCTGCAGGTTTGTTCTTAAGTTGATTTTCTATGTAAATTTGAACATTTACACTGAAAATGTTGCTCAAGGTTGTATGCAGAACACATCATGATATGTGCGGGGCTTGAGGAATGCAAGGCTGGGGTGAAAACTGCTGGAAGAAACATTAACAACCTTAGATATGCAGATGACACCACTTTGATGGCCGAAAGTGAGGAGGAGCTGAGGAGCTTTCTAACCAAGGTGAAAGAAGAAAGCGCAAAAGCTGGATTGCAGTTAAACATTAACAAAACCCAAGATTATGGCAACAAGAATAATTGACAACTGGGAGATAGAGGGAGAAAACGTGGAGGCAGAGACAGACTTTGTATTTCTAGGTGCAAAGATTACTGCAGACGCAGACTTCAGCCAGGAAATCAGGAGACGCTTACTTCTTGGGAGGACAGCAATGACCAATCTTGATAAAATAGTGAAGAGTAGAGACATCCCACTGGCAACAAAGATCCGCATAGTCAAAGCCATGGTATTCCCCATAGTCACCTACGGATGTGAGAGCTGGACCATAGGGAAGGCTGAGCGAAGGAAGAGAGATGCTTTTGAACTGTGGTGTTGGAGGAAAGTTCTGAGAGTGCCCTGAACAGTGAGAAGATCCAACCAGTCCATACCAAGAAATAAAGCCTGACTGCTTATTGGAGGGAAGAATAGTAGAGGCAAAGATGAAGTACTTTGGCCACATCATGAGAAGAAAGGAAAGCTTGGAGAAGACAATGATGCTGGGGAAAATGGAACAAAAAAGGAAGAGGGGCCGACCAAGGGCAAGATGGATGGATGGCATCCTTGAAGTGACTGGATTGACTTTGAAGGAGCTGGAGGTGGTGACGACCGACAGGGAGCTCTGGCGTGGGCTGGTCCATGAAGTCTCAAAGAGTCGGAAACGACTGAATGAATGAACAACAACAACAAGGTTTCCCGTTGACATTAAGTCTAGTCGTGTCTGATTCTAAGGGGTGGTGTTCATCTCTATTCCTAAGCCGAAGAGTCGGTGTTGTCCGTAGACACCTCCAAGGTCATGTGGCTGGCATGACTGCACGCAGCACCGTTACCTTCCTACTGGAGTGGTACCTACTGATCTACTCACATTTGCATGTTTTCAAACTGCTAGGTTGGCAGAATCTGTGGCTAACATCGGGAGCTCACCCCACCCCCTGGACTTGAACCACCGACCTTTCAGTCAGCAAGTTCAACAGTTCCGAGGTTTAACCCACTGTGCCACTGGGGGCTCCATATATATATATACACACATACACACAATGTGTGTGCGTATGTAACTTTGTTTAGCATAAGAATGGGTGAACACCCCTGTGGTGTTTGTTTTGCTGTCTGTGCACCTGTTCAGAAGATTTCACTTCACTTTCTGTCCCTGTAACAATTTTTGCAAATTTGGCTTGTTGTGGAAACAAGGATTTAGTGAGAAAGTTTTGGTGGAAACACCTTTTTTGGTGGAAACACTCTTCCAGGAGTGAATTTCTCTTCTGAGGGGTAGATTTCTCTCACTTCCTATTGTCTCATCCACCCCCCCCCCCAATTCTTAACTAGGAGTCATTTATAAATTGGATGTTTGTAACTCAGGGACTGTCCTTCCCCCAAAAGAAGGGAAAGCCCTCCTTTAACTGGCAGGGGGCAGGAATGCACTCTCCATTCATTTCCCTTCACCCTTGCAGCCATGTAAATTCCTCTTCCATACACACTTCCTGACCCACACTCAAAGGTGGCCCTGCCAAGATCCTTGTTTTCGGCTTCCAACCCATAGCTGGCTTTCTTCTGTGCTGCCATAGCGACGGCACAACCGACAGACAATGAGAGAACCTGCCGGCTGGCCCCTTCTTCTGCACACAGCAACCTTGAGTGGAGGAATAGGCAGGCACACCCCTCCACATTTAGCCATCTTTCCTTTGCAATGGAAAAGCAGTGCCAGAGAACAGAAACACCACATATTCCAAACAGTCACCAATCTCTTTGCAAAACAACTGGCATTTTAATAGACATGTCAAGGTTTGCAAAAATATGTTTGCATTGATATAGGTCTTTTATTAGTTTCTATTCTACTGGTGGAATGTCTGAAGGGAAGATGGAGCTAGCTTTCTTTCTGCTGTTCTGGAGGCTAGAACATAAACCTATAGATTCATGTGATGAGAATAGAGATTCAACCTAAACATTAGGAAGGAATTCATTACTGTAAGAGCTGTATGGGAGTGAAATAGATTGCCTTGGAGAGTGGTTGACTCTCATTCTTTAAAGACTGTTTTAGCGCTACATAGCAGGGAGTGGAATAGATGTTCTGTGCAACCCCTTCTAATTCTGCAATTTAATTTGATTGTCAGTTTGTGCCAAAGAGGCTTGCTACAGACACTTGAACAAGCTTATATTGTTAGAGATGTCCTTCCAAATGGAAATATGAGGTTCAAATTAGACAATCTCTCCTTCTACCAAAACATTCAACTATCCACTTGATGAGGTTTATCAAACATGGAACTCCTTCTCAATATCAGAGTGATATGCTTTCCTTGTTTTGTTTGCTTGTTTATCTGATTTCTATACTGCATCTTCCCAAAGTTTGAGTAACTACTGACTGACCCATCCAGTGTTTTCTTCTATTGCTATTGAATTATCAGAGAGAAATGCAAGATTTAATTATCAGAGAGAAACACCACCAAAAAACCACGAAAACCATAAGAACACATGGAATGTCTGTGTTTGGAAGCATATAAAATGTCAGAGGGCTGGACGGGTTCATTTAGGGAGATATGATCTGCCAGACAGAATCATAACCTCATAGTATTTGACAAGCTGGAAGGGGTTCTGGGGCATCCAGCCCAACTCCATTCTGTCATGCTGGAATACACAACAAAAGCACCCCTTAAAGATGCCCACTCAACCTCAATTTAAAGACGTCCAAAGAAAGAAACACTAGGGATTCTGGAAGTTGTGGTCCAAAACAATATGGCTTTCATGCCCTCTGGACTACACCAGAATTTAGACCTCTTCTACACTGCCATATAATCCAGATTACCAAAGCATACAATCTACATTATTTGCTTTGAAAAGGGTTACATAACTTTACACTGCTTTATAATCCAGTTCAAAGCAGATAATCTGGATTTTATATGGCCTCAGCAACCAGGTTTCCTCCAGATGGATTTGTAATAACCCATATCCTAGCTGATAGTGATGTAGAATTGCAATCAAATGAGTGCATTTACACTGCAGAATAAATTCAGTTCCACACCACATGTCTCAATGCAAATGGTAGTTTGGTGGGGCACGGGCGCTATTTAGCAGAGAAGCTTCAAGACAATGTAAATCTACAACTGCCATATTTTAGTGTTGAGCTGTCCTGAGTCCCTCTGCAGAGGTTAAGATAGGATGGGGTATAAATAAATAATACATTAATTCTGCAGTGGAGATGCAATCTAATAGCAAAGGCCACCAGGTTGCAAGATGTTGAATTTGATTGACCTTTCGTCTGATCCAACGATCTTACTTTCTTTTAAAGGGCACTCCAAACTGTACCCTCCTCCTGGGATCCCCCAAAAGAATGAAACACCACGATTCTGAAGCCATTCACCTGCTTAGCACGGTCTGGGTTCATCGTCGTCTGCGGCTGGAGGATGTTGACCGACTCCGGCTTCACTACGGACTGAGGGATCTCTCGGACCTTTTCGGCAATGAAGTTGTGGACCGCATTGAGGGCTTCCGCCGTGCCTTGGACCAGGCAGACCCGCTCCGTGGTTCCTGAAGGGTGCCAAAAAATAAAAGAAGGAGAGTTGGCCATGATGAAGGTGATGATTAATAACTTTTCTCTTGTTAAAGGTCCAAAGTGTTTAAAAAGATGCTCTGGATGTTTGCCTCCTTTAAATTCTCCCCAGCTATTCTTCCCAGCTGCTTTGAGTCTTCTTGTGGAGAGAAAAATCAGGCCATAAATAAACTTTATTATTATTATTGTTACTATTATTATTTTATTATTATGCAAAGGCTCTGGCATAAACCAGTACAGGTGGTCCCAGTGGTAATCGGCACACTGGGTGCCATGCCAAAAGATCTCAGCCGGCATTTGGAAACAATAAACATTGACAAAATCATGATCTTTCAACTGCAAAAGGCCACATCACTTGGATCTGCACGCATCATTTGAAAATACATCACACAGTCCTAGATGCTTGGGAAGTGTTTGACTTTTGTGATATGAAATATCCAGCATATATATAATATCCAGCATATAGATCTCGTTTTCTGTGACATACTGTGCTTTTGTGTCAGTAAAATAACAACAACTACAATAATAATTTATTCCTGTAAGCCTGTACATCTTAACTGCTGAGGAAAAGAACCATATTTCCTCGATTCAGGCCCCTTCTACACTGCCATATAAAATCCAGATTATCTGCTTTGAACTGTAATATATGACTGTGTAGACTCATATAGTTCAAAGCAGATAATGTGGATTATCTGCTTTGATATCTGGATTATATGGCAGTTTAGAAGGGGCCTCCCCCACATAAACATCTCTAAAAACAGGGTGTGTTTTAGAATCACAGGTGCTTTTTATATATAAACTAGCATATATACATTTTCTTTGGGGCTCTTTCTTTCTTTTCTCCCTTTCCCCTTAATCTGGTCCCTCCATTGTGATGCTTCTCCCTCTTTCTTTTCCTTAGCTTGTTTTCTCTCGTAATAATAATAATAATCACCATCACCATCATCATCATCATCATCTTTATTTATATTCCACAACCTCTCCCTGAGGAGACTCATACTTCTTCCTTTATCTTACTTCCTCTCCTTTCTCATCCTTCTTTCCCTTTCCCTTCTTTTTTTCTTCCCTCTCTTTAGCCCTTCTTCCCTTCCTTTCTCTTTCCTTCTTTTTCTTTTTCTCCCCACTCACACTTTCCCCCCTTTCCTTTTTCTTCCTTCCTGTCCTACTTTCTCTTTCTTCCCCTCTCACTTCCTTCCTTCTTCCTTTCTTTCCATTTGTTTCTCTTTCTTTCCCATTCTTTCCCAGTGACATCACAGAGGGACACTTCACCTAGCCACAGCCGATCTGTTTGTTCCTTTTCTTTCCCTCTGCTCTGGGTCCAAAAGGAAAGCATTTTTATATTATTGTTCAACACCTCAATTATTTAAAGTTGGATAATGAAGGGCCTGTGTGCCTTTGTGGTACAAAACCTACAAACCAGTGTGTGTTTGTGTGTGTGTATGTATATATATATATATATATGTATATATATATATACACACACACATACACATACATATATACATACATACATACATACATATATATATAGGTAAAGCTTTTTTCTGTGGGTGAAATTAGTGAAATTAGTGGCCTTCACTATGATCTAGATTTTATTGTAAGCCACTTTGAGTCTATTGTTGTTGTTGTTATATTTATGGCAGTGTGGACTCAGATAACCCAGTTCAAAGCAGATATTATGGGTTATTCTGCCTTGATATTCTGGGATATAGGGCTGTGTGGAAGGGCCCCCAGAATATCAAGGCAGAATAATCCATAATATCTGCTTTGAACTGGGTTATCTGAGCCCACATTGCCATAAATATAACAAGAACAACAACAACAATTGTGAGGAGATCCTATATACCTCCATTGCCATCTTTCTCCTCAAATGATGCAATGATAATATTTATGTACTTGCACTTCTTAAAAGTTATTATTATGTTTATAATGTCTATTATGTTTACTTGAGCCTAGTGTCTAGATCCAGAGAAGTCATGCTCCCCCTCTATTCTACCTTAGCCACACCTGGAATACTGTGTCCAATTTTGGGCACCGCAATGGAAAGGAGATGTTAACAAGCTGGAATGTGTCCAGAGGAGGGCGACTCATATGATCAAGGGTCTGGAGAACAAGCCCCATGAGGAGAGGCTTAAGGAGCTGGGCATGCTTTGAACTGGGGTATATGGCATATGGCAACATGGCAGATGGCTGATGGCCCTTACTTCCACACAGCCCTATATCCCAGAATATCAAGGCAGAAAATCCCACATTATCTGAGTATGAACTGTGATAACCCAGTTCAAAGCAGATATTGTGGATTTTCTGTCTTGATATTCTGGGATATACTGTGTGGAAGGACCCTCAGCCATCTGCCATGCTGCCATATATCCTAGTTCAAAGCAGATAATGTGGATTATTCTCCCTTGATATTCTGGGATATAGGGCTGTTTAGAAGGGCCCCCAGAATATCAAGGCAGAATAATCCATAATATCTGTTTTGAACTGGGTTATCTGAGTCCACAGTGCCATAAATATAACAACAACAACAACAACAACAATTGTGGAGTGTGGAGGTGTGTTTAAGTACAATCCACTGGGGCCCCTTCCACACAGCCATATAACTGTGCTGTTGTTTGAACGCCATCAAACAACAGCACAGCTAATAGCCGCTGCAGTGATGACATGAAAACAAAGTATATTGAAGAATAGAAGTCATAACAATGATTTATTAACCCGAGTTATAAACGATATGTCTTCACATTGCCATCCCCGAACAGCAATGCACTGCTTACATTGTGGAATCACAGCTTCTTGGGTAATTTTATGGATAGTTATGGTGTCTCTCCTCCAGCAAAGGATCACCGCCTTGTCACCTTATTTCTCATGCCAGTAAGGTAATGCTCAAGATCCTGCAAGGAAGACTCCAGCAATACATGGAGCGAGAGTTGCCAGATGTTCAAGCTGGGTTTAGAAAAGGCAGAGGAACGAGAGACCAGATTGCCAATATCCGCTGGATAATGGAGAAAGGCAGGGAGTTTCAGAAAAACATCTACTTCTGCTTCATTGACTATTCTAAAGTCTTTGACTGTGTGGATCATAATAAATTGTGGCAAGTTCTTGGTGGGATGGGCATACCAAGCCACCTTGTCTCTCTCCTGAGGAATCTGTACAAGGACCAAGTAGCAACAGTCAGAACTGACCACGGAACAACAGACTGGTTCGAGATTGGGAAAGGCGTACGGCAAGGCTGCATACTCTCACCCAACCTTTTTAACTTGTATGCAGAACACATCATGGGATGTGCGGGGCTTGATGAATATTGCTGGAAGAAACATTAACAACCTCAGATATGCAGATGACACCACTCTGATGGCCGAAAGCGAGGAGGAGCTGAGGAGCCTTCTCACCAAGGTGAAAGAAGAAAGCGCAAAAGCCGGGTTGCAGCTAAACGTCAAAAAAACCAAGATTATGGCAACAAGAATGATTGACAACTGGAAAATAGAGGGAGAAAACGTGGAGGCCGTGACAGACTTTGTATTTCTAGGTGCAAAGATTACTGCAGATGCAGACTGTGGCCAGGAAATCAGAAGACGCTTACTTCTTGGGAGGAGAGCAATGTCCAGTCTCGATAAAATAGTAAAGAGTAGAGACATCAGACTGGCAACAAAGATCCGCCTAGTCAAAGCCATGGTATTCCCTGTAGTCGCCTACGGATGTGAGAGCTGGACCTTAGGGAAGGCTGAGCGAAGGAAGATCGATGCTTTTGAGCTGTGATGCTGGAGGAAAGTGCTGAGAGTGCCTTGGACTGCGAGAAGATCCAACCAGTCCATCCTCCAGGAAATAAAGCCCGACTGCTCACTGGAGGGAAGGAGACTAGAGACAAAGTTGAAGTACTTTGGCCACATCATGAGGAGACAGCAAAGCCTAGAGAAGACAATTATGCTGGGGAAAGTGGAAGGCAAAAGGAAGAGGGGCCGACCAAGGGCAAGATGGATGGATGGCATCCTTGAAGTGACTGGACTGAGCTTGAGGGAGCTGGGGGTGGTAACGGCCGACAGGGAGCTCTGGCGTGGGCTGGTCCAGATGTATGGATGGATGGCATCCTTGAAGTGACTGGACTGACCTTGAGGGAGCTGGGGGTGGTAACGGCCAACAGGGAGCTCTGGCATGGGCTGGTCCATGAGGTCACGAAGAGTCGGAGACGACTGAACGAATGAACAACAATGGTGTCTCTCATCTTTTTGAGGGTGCACTCATTCTTGTGGGGAAATTGCATCCCAAGAAATCTAGAACGTTATGGGGGGAGACACCATAGTTGTTTGTTTGGCCTGTGTAAAATGTTTTTTTAAGAAGCAGAACCAAGGATACTGGGAGACGGAGTGCTCCCATTCTCCATCTTCTCCCCCAAGTGAGGTTTCTCCATCTTCTCCTTCTCCTTCCTGCCTTCCCCATCAGCTGCGGCTTCAACAATACCCCTCTCTGGCTCTGGGTTGCCATGGCAACACACAGAGGCCTTCCCTTCTTCTCCTCTAGCCTCACTACTACCAGTAGGCCTCAAGGGGTCCGTCGCCGTGGCAACCGGCACCTAGGCAACAGGACGATGCAGGATGGAGGAGGAAGGGGGTCTCCATTGTGCCGATTTGTGATGCTGGAATGTGTGGGAAGTCCAACCTGATTAAAAGATGGGATCAAAAGGGGGGATAATCAGGCGTGGGCAAACTTGGGCTCTCCAGGTGTTTTGGACTCCAATTCCCACATTCCTAACAGCCGGTAGGCTGTTAGGAATTGTGGGAGTTGGAGTCCAAAACACCTGGAGGGCCCAAGTTTGCCCACGCCTGAGCTACACCTTGTGATCTTTGCAGAAGTGTGGCTGGAAGAGCAGGCATTCTCATATTCATATGTCGCACCCCATGGGTGCTATGAAGCCGGCCGAGCCTTTTGTTTGTTGTTTCTGTTTTGTTTGGTTTTTTTGCAGCAGTCAACATCCAGCACCGCT